TCAAAGCAGATGGAAGAAGGGTGAAGGGAAGGGGGGGGGGGGGGCGGGGGGGGCGCCCCCCCGCCCCCCCCCCCCTGCGGGCCCTCCCCTTTTGCGGACTTACGTTGTAGACGTTCTCGGTGAGGCGGTGGACCTCCTCGGAGCGGGCCATGCCGGGCGGGCGGGGCAGCACCATGGGGGGCGGCGGCGGGGGCTGCGGGGCGGTGCGGGGCTGCGCGGACCGGGGCTGCCGGCGGACGCGGAAAGCGGCGCAGTGGAGCGGTACCGCCGTTTTTATCAGCTCCAGCCCGCCCCGCACCGCCCCGCACCGCCACGGCCCGCCCGCGGGGAGGAGCCGCGTCCTGGGAACGCCTCTTCGTGCCCCATCGTGCCCCGACCCGTTCTCCGCGTACCCCTCATCTCCATCCCATCCCTTCCCATCCCATCTCCCATTCCCATTCCGTACCTCATTCCTATTCCATACCCCATTCCCATCCCGTACCCTGTACCCCATTCCAATCCCATACCTCATTCCCATCCCCTATCACAGTCCCATCAAATAACCCCATAACCCTTTCTGATCCCGTACCCACTCCCATCTCATACCCCATCCTACACCCCATCCCAGACCCCTATCTATAGCCCCTGCTGTGCCTTATCCTATAGCCTACAATACCTCTTCCTATACCCTGATACTCTTCCTTCCCCCCCTCCATGTCTCACACTACATCCCACAAACCTTGTGGTGCCCCGTGCTGTGCCCCATAATTGTAGCTGCCCTGCACACACTCCCTGCACCCCATGCTGTGCTTCTGCCCATATGGTGCTGGGCATGAGGGGTGATGGAGGGCTGCATGGTGTTGGTGTCAGATGGGGAAGGGCAGCAGAAACCATCCAAGAAAGAGTGGGACCATCACTGCACGTCACGGCCCTGTTCTTATCCTATCCCTGTCCCTGTCCCTGTGACCACAGCACTGAGGTTCTCCCATGTCCAGAGATGCCATGGCACAAACTGCTGTGGGTGTCCTCACCTGCCCCCAGGATGAACCTCCCCCCTTTTTCTCCTGCCCTTGGCCCCAGGAAGCAGTGCAGCAGGTAGCAGCCAGGTGTGCTATTTTGAGCCGTCTCCTCCCTCCAATCCAAAGGCCCATGGCAGGAGCAGCCCCAGATGGTCAATACCTTGTCCCAATAGCTCTGCTGCTGTCCCACTGCCTCCCCTGCACCTCTCCACATCCACACAATGGGGAGCAGGGGCACAGCTCAGCCTGGGCGCACCTGAATCTGTCCCAGCCCCATCCCATCTCTATCCTGCTTGCATCCCTTCTTCCCAAACCAGAGGTCAGGGATGAATTCACACCACATGTGCAATTTCCTACGCCAGTGGATTAACCCCTTCCCACTGAGGTTGGAGGGCAGGGGGGGAGCAGAGACCTCCTGGCTACAACTGGGTGCGTGTGACATCCAGCAGGGACCTGCCTGGTGCTGCAGTGTGCTGCTGCCCCATGGACCAGGACCAGGACCAGGCCCAAGGCTGCTCCCACTGCCAGCAAAGTGCTTTGGAGAGAGCAGCCAGGAGCACAGTGCTCCACGCGCATCTCCATCGCCTTATTTTTAGTTGTGTTATGTAAGTTCTTCGCCACGTCACGGAGGTGGGGGGTTCTTGCATCTAATTCCAGTGTGACAGCCCAGCAATTCAAGCAAGCTGTTCTGCTGGAGAAGATAAAAGGATTTGTAATTTCTCATCATGGAAGAGGCCTTCTGGGACGACCCGCAGAGAATCTCGCGCTGCTTCCAGCCTCCACCCAGCTCCGCTTTCTTCCCATCTCCTGCTTCTCTTTATCTCTATCCCCAGGAAATCTGAATACTGACAGCCTCCCTCCTTCACACCCCTGCTCCCAAAGCTCGAAGCCTCCGGGGTTCCTTATTCTCATGTTAAGAAATGGATTCCCTCTATTCCCACGGCTGTGCTGCGCCCACCGCACCCCAGGGCCAGCAGCAGAACCCCTGCCTGCACCTCGCACCGCAGTGCTTGCTCAACATGGAACCCAACACAAGGCAGTGCCCACATGGGACCCCGGCAGCAGTAAGGCTCAGGACCATCCCCCCCACAAACCCCCTCCTCAGCTGACGGCGCATCCATGCACGCAGCACCGTCCACCTCCAGCCCCGGGTGGAGCGAAGTTGCTGTGGCAACACCACCTTATGTAATCCACCCAGTTCGGCTGCAGGTGTGTGGAGGAAATGGTGCTATTTTAGAAGTTTCATTAGGTTCCTTCTTAATTATCAGCATGGCGTCACACCAGTGCTCCCAGCCGGGTCACGTGCCCCAGTGCTCGGAGCGAGCATGGAACCACAGCGGTGAAGGCAGAGGGCAGAGGGCTCCTCTTGGCCACTGGGGATGGGGACAGTGGTCTCTCTGCTCAGCCCCATGTCTCCCCATGGCTGTGCCCCATTGGAAAGTGCAGGATGGAGGCTTCCCTGGGGATACCACCCCAATCCAAGCTGTGCGGCACAGGGCAGGAGTGTCCCTGCAAGTGCCAACGAGATCACCGAGAAACCTCCGTGCCTTCGCTCTCATGCAGATGTCTTCTCCATCAGCGTCCTGAAAACGCTGCATGCACTCTGCTGCGAACCCTCTCCGTGCTGTGCCAGGAGTTATTTGTTTCTCAGGCCATTTTAAGATGATTTTTCTGACATCTGATGTGGTGCTTTGGGGAATCGGCCTAATGGGTTCCAGCACAACCTCAGGAGCTTCTCCCCCTGCCAGCTCGTCCTGCTTGGCTGCTTTGGCTGATGGCTCGGGCAGCTCTGATCGATGCGCATTTCCCAGCCGTGTGCTCAGCCCTGAGCTGTGCCATGGAACCTCAGGCAGTGCCATGGAGCCCCAGGCTGTGCCAGGGAATCCCAGGATGTGCCATGGAGCCCTGAGCTGTGCCATGGAGTGCTCAGCAGTGCCATAGAGCCCCAAGCAGCTGCAGGGATGCCTGGTGACCTGCTATGCCCCATGGTTGATTGCATCCATCCCACGCTCTTGGTCCTTCCCCACTGCCCCCAGTGCTGTACCATGCAGTGCTTTGAGGTATAGGGAAGTTTTTGCCTTTGGTTTTGTAGAGTCAGGACTTCAAGTTGCGACCAAAAACTGGAGATTCCCTGCGTGTGTCAGCAACTCTCAGCCTGCTAAATCCCCCGAAGCACAAACAGCAAATCAAGTAAAGCCATTTATTGAGGATTAGCAAAGGATGAACAATTCCGGCTCTTATTTTATTAGGTGGAAGCTGTGGCACCGAAATCCAGCGCAGAGCCCAAACTGGCAGTGACAGCACTTTGGGGCCCCTGTGCAGCACTCGGCTGAGCAGCGCTCCTCCAACCCCCAAAGTAGGTCAGCATTGCATTGCAGGGCAGGGTCTGCAGGGGGAACTCGGCCGGGTGAGGTCGAGCCGGGGTCAAGCAGCCGATGGTAACAGCAGGGGAGCAGGGGGCAGCCCAAAAAGGTCAGCTGGCCAAGGCCTGGAGGACCAGGATGCGGTGATGCCCCACTGCAGCTCCTGCCCTTTGGAGTTGGGGCTGCAGGGGGGGTGTAGGGCTGGGCCTCCACTGCTTGGCCCCACCATGCCACTGGGCAGGCATGGCTCTGCTGGCTTTGGGTCGGCCTCAGCTCCTGGATCCATGAGTAATGCTGCATTACAGCCCGCTAAGGAGATCTCTGGGGATACTTCTGAATAACAGGCATAGTTCATGCGATTTGCACAATGGGCACGATGGGATTTGGCATCACGTTGCTGGAGTGTGGGCTGGGGGTCACCAGGCTGGGGGGCTGCCTTCCCAACGGCCCCTCAACACCAACAGCCCTCACAGCCCCGGGATCAGCCTCCACTTGCTCCCCGTGACTCGCTGCAACCTTGGGCACAGCCCAGCCTCCGCCCCACGGCCGGGGACAAGGAGCGGCTCCGCTGATGGCACACAAAGGCACAGGGCGTGCACCACCCGAGGAACCTCATTCCTCACTGTGTGGGGCAGCGTTGGTGTGGAAGGGGTGGTGATCCGAGGCTGCGTGCCCCCCAGCAGCAGCACCCGGTCCCGGCTCTGCACGGAGCTCACAGGCAGCTCTCGGAGCTGCAGAGGTCACGTTCTCACACAGCCCCATAACAAACCCGCTTTGTTCCCACTGCTGCTCCGATGAGGGAACGGCACGGATTCTGTTGGGCTTTTTTCCCCCACAGTTGAACTGTCTTCGGGTGCTTTCAGCACCGAGCAGCCAGGGGAGCGCTGCACCTCTGCAGCCACCGGGCTGCGCCCCTCACCCTCAGTTCCACGCACGCTTCAGGAGCTGTTTGAACGAGGGGGTGCAGCACCAACCCCAGCACAGCACTGCAGCCGCGTTGGCATAGAAACTGCTGCGGCTCCGTGGATGCACACAGCTCGGCTGCACCAGGAGGGGCTCAGCCCCAAATAACTCCCAAGCTGCTTCCAGAGCATCTATGGCTGCGCTGCAGGGAAAGGAAGCCAAGCCTGAGCTTATGTGTGAGGCTGATGCTCTGCTGCCTTGTGGGCAGTGGGGAAGTTGAGTCCATTTGAAGGCCACTCTGCTTGCACAACGCAGGGCACGGCAGCATCAGCACCCCCACGTCCACCACCACCACCAGGACAGCATTGGGCATGGACTGTGCCTTGCAGATAGAGTGAGGACGTGATGCCAGCAACAGGCCCTGCTCATAGTGCGTGCTGGAGGAGTGCTACCGCTGCAGCAACAGCACAACATGCAGCTTCTCTCCCAAACACGGCTCCAGAACCCACCACCCATGGCAGGGCACTGGTCCTGCTGTTACCTGGCAGCACGGTTCTCCCAGGGTGCCCAACACACAGCGTTGCTCCTTTCCTTCACATGGAGCCACCTCTCAGGCCTCCTGCCCAGGTGCCTCCCAGGAGCACAGGGGTGAGAAGAAGGAGAAGGAGGAGAAGGCAACTCCAACCCATCGAAAACATTTACCGTGAAAACACGAGGCTGGAAGAGGAATCGGTGAAACCATTAGAAGCTGTTTATTGTTACAGCACACCACAGAGGTCACACAGCACTCCTGGCGCTTCCTCCCAAGGAGACACGGTACAATCTGTTTGGTACAGGGATTAGGAGAGGAAGCTGCTGGCAATCTGCTTGCAACTTTCCTGTGGGGAGGTCAGAGCGCGGCCTTTCCCAAAGCTGGGAGCCGCATTAACCCCTCCTGCACCGCAGCCCTGACCACAGCAGCACACAGACATGGGCTCAGCACTCAGCCCAGCACCTCTGCGGCCTCGGGGAGGGTCTGCTGGGGGCTCCCCTGCTGCCAGGACCTGGGGGGAGTGGAGTAGGGGGGGGCAAGGTGTGCCCACCCTGCAGAACAGGGTCTGCTCAGAGCACTGGCAGCAAGAGCCGTGCCCCAGGAGAGGTCCCTTAAGGACCGTATAGGGGGAGCCCAGCATCCACTCCTAGGAGTTACAAATTAAATAGGGTCAAACTAAAGGCGCAGACACCAGGCTAGCAACGGAGTAAAGGAGACGTAAGGAACAACAATGCTGATGAGAGCAGTGCGAAGACGAGGCTCTCTCTGGTGGAAAAAGTGAGCACTGCAACCACCCAGGATGTAACAGAGGGAAGCAACAGCCTTGCAGAAAGAAAAACCATCACAGAGCGTAACCCAGGAGACAGCCCTGCGCCACTGCAGCTGCGGGGTGGCTCCCAGCACCCATCGGCGCTTGGCACGGGCACAGCCATCGCGTTCAACCTGTCCTTTCAATTCAGAAAGCCGTTTGTTTGCAAAAGCCACGCCGCTTTGTAAACGCGGCTCTGCTGCCTGCCAGCCAGCGGCTTTGTTATGCAACATTAATTAACAGGGAGAGCCGAGGAACCGAAAATAGGGCGGCTGCAGAGCGCAGGCTGCCTCTGCCACTCACGCCCCACATCCTGCCCCGGCAGCAGGACGTAATGCCCACGCCGGGCTGTGGGACATCACACATGAAGGTGGAACAGAAAGCATGACTTAGGAAATACAAAACGCAGTCGCTGCTGACTCACCAGCACAGCCTCTGGGATTGCTCCCCATTTGTCTAGCACCAGGCCGCGTATCCCCAAAAGCAGTCACTAAAAGTCTCAGAGGGCCCTCTGGGTCCTTCTGCTCTGTCTCAGATACAAGGGTTAAGGGTTGTGGCTTCAGGAGTGTGATAAATACAGATCCGTGGATTCCTATGAGCACCTGCAAGCGGGCAGCTCTGCTGGTTTCACAGCTCCACCTGCACGCCCTGGCAGCACCTTGGCCATGCCAGCATCCCTCTGGGTGCTGACTCGAGGAGCTGCACGCTTTGCATCACTGCAGAACTCACCCATCCCAGCCCAATCTCTCTTTTTCCGCTGCCCTGCCACGAAATATGGAAGCTGACAGCTGGAAGCAGAGTTATCTCAGCCCACCTGAGCACTGCAAAGGCGAATGCAGACTAATGGAGCAGGGCCACACAGGCTGACCTGTGGCTCCCAACGCAGGCAGGCTCCTTGCTGCGGTTTTCAGAGGCTCAGCAGATTTCTGCAGGCTCAGCTCTGCACTCAGTGCTGCGGATCAGGAGAGGAGGAGCAGCTGAGTGGGAATCCTTAATGACCGCCTCTGACTCATTGCCCAGGGACAGCCCAGCTCCTCACCTCACACCGGAGGTTTTCCCCTCTCAATGAGTGCTGCTGCAGGCAAAGGCAAGCAAACACTGTGCCTTGCCCAAAGGAACACCCTGGATTTATGCACAGCTGGCAGAACCCAACCCACAGAGCGGCTGCCTGCATCCAGAAGCAGGGGAGGAAAAGCAGAGGGGCTGAGAGCAGTGCAGACAGAGAAGGGCTCACAGCAGCCCTGGGACAGCTGCATCAGACAGAAGCACCCCAAAGGGAGGGCAGGCTGGGGACCGGACAGAGCAAAGGCAGATTTACAGCTGAAATCAAACCTAGAGAGAAAGTGTTTGGCTTTGGAAGTTTTAGAGTTGTTATTTAATCCCAAGACAGCGCAGCTGAGTGAGTTGAGAATTTAAGTTACAAAAAAAGAAAGCACTAGAAAATAATCTTGATACAAGAGCAATAATCGATGGGCTGAGGATCCCCGCCCTGCACAGGGAATCCTGCTCCACAATCTGCCCAGCACAGCTGGGATGCTGCCGAGGCATTGCTTGTTCCCAGGCAATTGCTTTGTCACCAGGCAAACTGTCCTGGGTGAAAGTTATGGGGGGGATCCCCAGAAACGGGAGTTAAGATGCTGCCACCAGCTCTGGTTTTGGCCTGTTCTTGATGGGTGTTGCTTCTGCGGAGGAAAAAGAAACTTGTTACAGTGAGAACAGAAGTAACGTGCAGAGCCAGAGCCACCTGCTGCAGATGGACCAGGACTCGTGTTCCACTTCCCAGCAGAGCAACAAATGCTTGCACAGTGCCTGGAAAGCCACTGAACTCACAAGCATGCATTACAAACGATTTTACCTATCCAGTATGCCTCTCTTTCCAGCAGCACTTCAAGAATTAAAACACTTTCTGAGTGCACCTGACACCATTCCAGCTGGCCTCCTGCCCAACACACACCCAGAACAAGAAACCATTTCTCGGAGAGCTGGGGCACAGCAGCATTGCTCCCTTCCCCACCTTCTGACAACATGAGTCTAAATGGGCTCCATCAGCTGCCTGCTGCGAGGGCAGCTCGTATTTTGTTTGGCCATCCTGCTGTCAACACAGAGATGACATTTGATCCGTGTTTAGTAAACAAGTGCTGGAACCAAACAAGCCCTGTCCTCCCTGTCCCAGATTTCTCCCACACAGACACCATGCAGGGGCACCGGGTCCCCTTAAGGTAAAGGTTCAGCAATACAGGGTTTGTCAGAGCCACGGAGGGAAGCCTGTGCCAGCTTTCACCACACAGCCTTCATGTCTGCTGGGACATTTACAGCATACAGGAGGGCTCAAAGCGTTGCACAGAGCAGAGATGTAGGTGGAGCCAAAGCTGCAGAGCACACAGAGCAGACAGCATTACCTGGGGGCTCCTCCGGGAGCGGCTCAGAAGGAACGTCTGGAAGCTCCAACTGTTCCTGCAAGAACAACAAAGAGCAGACGTGGCACCGAGCGGTGATCACAGACCTTTGCACCACAGTTATGTGCAAAGAATGCTTGGGAACACAGGAGTGACTTCATGCAGAAACCGATACCTGCCCCCAGACCTGCAGGAAGGCTCATGGGTTTGAGCACTGCTCAGTGAATGAGAGCAGGGCTTGATACATTTGCATTTAAATTAGCAGGACTGCCTGTTAGCTACAAATCTCCTCAAGTAAACGTTAGCTGCAGATCTTCTGCACCTCACCTCCCACTGGCTGCATGTTTCTGCAGTGAAGCCAAACCAGGGCAGTGTTTGGGGGAGCCAAAGGCATCACAGAGAGTGGTAATATACACTGATTCCTGTTCATCTGAGCACGATCCAGGGCTTTCAAGATCTTCATTTAGTAAAGCAGAACAGCTACCCAGTAAGAACAGAAATCAGCTGATTGTAGCAAATACAGTACAGCCCTTAAATCATCCCATTTTCAAGTGATTGCTGTGTGTGAACCAATTAGCTTGATCTCTCATGACTCAGGAATTAGGCACAAACAGGTGCAACTGAGATCTGTGGCAGAACAAGCTAACACAAGTGGTAATAAGATTATTCCTCCTTTGCCAACAGCTTCCCGAAAACATGCACTGGAAGTAATTACATCAAGTTAGTCCTACCTGAGTGATAGTGTTTAATTCCTCTAGAATGGCATCTTCATCTTCCTCAGTCAGGCTCCCAGCCAGTATCTCATCTATTTGCTACACAAGTGAGGAAAAGGCACATTCCAGTCAGAACAGTGCACAGCAGCAGCTCTGTGCCTTACAGCAGGATCCACCAATGCACCAAACCAATGGATGCACAGCACGAAGGGGTACTCAGAAAACCAACAAACCTAATTTTTCTGCAGGCAATCAAGAGAGAGTTCAAGTTCCAGTCTGACTGCCTCTTGAACGAGGCTGGGCACACAGTGCCCCACAGAAACGCATGGCAGCCTGCCTCTGCTCACAGCTACTCACACACACCATACGTACCCTCTGGTACTCCACAGCATCCTGGGTTTCACCTATTATTCTTTCCACTTCTTCTATTGACATAACCTGAGGAAAAGAGCCAAAAATCCACACGTGAGTGAGGCCTGAAGGGAGACATCCAAGGACCCTGTTGAGTTCAAGGCAACGCTGCGCTCGGCCAACCTGGCCACACGTACCTGGTGCATTTTGTTCAGACACTCGTTGCCTATTTTCAGGCCCTCAATGACCTTCATTTCGATCTGGGTGAACTCGATATCCTGGACCTGAAACAGGAGGGACAGGGGGATGTGTCACAGCTGTCACAGCCCTGCCACAGACTCCCAAGAGAAACTGAAAGGTGAAGACAGTCAAGAGCCCCAACAGAGGCTTAAATCATATCAGCAGTACAATGTATACAAAAACTCTTCCTTTGACACATGTAGCTGCAAAACCAGATCCAGTAGGCTTTTGTCTGCTTCTCAAATCCAAGCTTAGGCTGTAGCTCCCCAGGCCACGCCTGAGCAAACACATCCATTTCTACACCAAGGTTCCGAGACAAGCTGGACAAAGTTTCTACTGCAGCTGCCCACCCTGTGACTAAGGTTCTGTTAACTTACAGAACACGCCTTTCACCCGCAGCCTGCAGTGCAGACTCACAACACGCTCCCACTTGATTGTTTACAGAGGTGTCATGGCACCAGGACAGTTTCAGATGCTTTGGGCAGGATCACAGCCCTGCTGGGACCTGGGGTGCAGTCCTGCACACCCCGAAGCAGCCCCTCCTGGTTCTGCCCCACGTATGAAGCACCCGGTGCTCGCTCACCATCCGCTCCAGGTTGCTGATCTGGTTGTCTGTCTTATCCAGCAGCTGCTCCTGGTAACGCTTCTTCTTCAACAAGAGCATAGCTTTTCTGAGGGGAAAGAGCAGCAGATCAGCACAGAAGGGCCAGTGCTGAACGCTGTTATCAACGAGGCAGATGAAGGGATCAAGCCTACTCTCAGCACTACTCTCAGCAGTCTGTGGATGACGCCAAGACGAGTGCTGTGTTAGATACAATGGAAGGAAGAAACAGCAGCCAGAATAACCCAGACTGGCTTAAAAGTTGTGCCCACATGAACCAAATGAGGTTTAACACAGCCAAGTGCGGGATGCTGCAGCTGGGGGAGAAGGGGGGAGCAAAACGGCCGGGAGGAGAACGGACTGAGAGCAGTGCTGTGAAGGAGGGGGGGGGTTGTGATGGTGAGATGCGGGATGTGGGGCAGCTGTATGTGCTGGGGGCACAAAGGCCAGCGGTCCTTGGGCTGCATCAGCAGAGGGGGCAACAGGGCAGGTCAGGTCAGATCTGTCCCGTCCCGTCCCATCCCCTCCGCTCCGCCCCGTCAGACCCGGCGCAGCTCCGTCCCCTCCCGCCCGCAGCCGCCCGGCCCCGCCGCCCCTTACTCCTTCTTGCCATCCTTCAGCAGCTGCCGGGCGAGCTCCCGCTCCCGCTCCAGGCCCAGGCTGATCCGTTTCTGGTACTGCCGCAGTTTATCCCGCTGCTGCTTCAATTGCTGAGGAGAGATGGGGTCGGGCTCAGGGCCGGACCGGCTTTGGGCGGCGGCAGCCCCCACCGCGGTACCGCTGCGGCCGCGGCCCCGGCCCCGCTCTCACCAGCACGGCCTTGTCCTGCTCCGTGACGCGGCTGCGCCGCTTCCGTCCGAACAGGTTCCCCATCGCCCCTCCGCCGCTCCTGCCCCGGCCCCGGGCGGCCCCGGCCGCACCGCCCCGCCCCGCGACGGCGGCCGCGTAGGGCCAGAAACGGCACAGCGCGGAGGGAACGGGAGAGCGCCGTGCAGTGCGACGGGGAGACCGCTAGGGGGCGCCAGTGAGGCGCGGACGGGAGCGGGAAGTGGTGACTATGGGGATAGCGGGGACCAGTAGGGGATGGAGGGGAACCATAGAGATGGGGGCATCTATAGGGAGTAGAGAGGACCTATAGGGAATGGGGGGAACCATAGAGATGAGGGCATCTATAGGGGGTAGAGGGGACCTA